TGAGTGATTTGGCTTAGGAAACAGATTAGCAAAAACAAACCATGTCAGCTTAGATTTGTATCTCATTTTTAACACAGACTGACCTTTTGACCCCGGGATTTAGCTTCAAGCCCAAAAATCTCCAACCATGAAATCCATAAAAGGACTCTAAGCTGAAATTAGTATCTCCTCCCACATCACGGGAATAGTGTTGGTTATTTTAGCTAACCCTGAGGACTTTTGGAGTTTGTCCTTGGATATATTCCCCCTCAAAGGTCAAAGACAGTCACACACCTGGAAGTGCTTACCAGTAACACTGCGTCACCAACAGATCTGCACCCACAAGCTTTTTCCTATTGACTCCCTCTAGAAAGAGTCTCCCCAGGCCCTACAATGAGCATAAAGTCTAATGAGTCCTTTTCAAACTTGGCTGTATATACAATAGAATGAAAACTTTTTGGATAAATGAGTAATAAACGTTTATTACTGAATACAATGGGGACATTTTCAAGCCACATCAGCAAGGATTTTTGCAATTAGAGTAGTTTCATAAACATACACATGCTCGACATAGGGTCTGCATGCTTGTTCATTAGTGCATTTGAAGAGCATTAGGTTTATATTTTCTATTAAAATTAAAGCGCTTATAGATTGTTTTCAAGGCCTTGTATTTTTCCCAGCTTCACTGTAAACGTAGGTCTAGGCATATGTTGGCAATTTGTTCTATTTTATAGGCCCTTAGCTTGGTGCACACACGGTGTAACCACACATGATTAGTTACCTGCTACATGTGAAGTGCCATGTGTTCATTAAAACGTGTGAACACTTGAGAAACAGTGGAATATGTCTTTTCAAATGCAGAATACATCAAACTAAAACAACAGAAGTCTTTCATAATAACTCATTGATACAAACAGCTAGAAAACACTTGGCATGTCAGAAAACTATGCTGACATTACATCATTAAGGTTTCTTATCTTACATAGCATATCACCATTAATTTAGTAGCAAAGATTTATACAAAACTTGGTCTGCTGTTAAGTAAGGCCATTTTCGTTTAGGGAAAACATTCTGGTCCATGTGATTTATCATAGTTTAAAAAATAAATAAAATTAGCACAGATTACATCATGACTTCAGTTCATTCATAAATTGACGTTTTAAAAATTATTCTGAAAAAACATGCAGCCAGGAATATAATCTACTTCATCAAGATAAAATTTCATGCCGAATTAGGCTACTTTTCAAAATAAGTCTAAGTTCTCAATCTGCTTTTAATCAAAACTTTTTTTTTTTCTCTCAAAGCACAGTCATATTTAGTCATATTTAGTAAGTTTTTTTCCTTTTTGTTTGGCGTGCACACACACAGTGGTTGAAGCTTCAGGGGAGTCTTTGCACATATGGCAGTTTATTCCCTCGAAGACTCTGGTTTGTTCAAAGACACTGTGTGGAAATATGTCACAAAATTTGGCTGAAATCTCACACAGATCTAGCGGAATGACTTCAGACTCCCAGGATCCCACATGCAGTCATCACAAAATAAAACTTTATGGTGCAACCTATACAGAATATAACTAGTCAGGATGTCAGTTGATTTGACAGTGGCATTTATGAACTTCGATATCTTATTTATATAAAACAGAAAAGCACTGAAAGCTCTTGTCAGTCTTTTTAAGAGCCACGTTTGCATCAAAAAGAGCACCGCTGATTCAGTTTGATTTTGATTATAAAGGCATGAAACATCTGTTCGTAAAATGAGTCAGGGCATTTTCACTTTGATGAGAAACCAAACGGTGTTTACTCAAACACATAAAATCACTTTAATTGCACGATGTAGGGGCTTTTTGGTTTGTTGTATAGCTATCTACAAGTGCAGACATGACCATTTATATCTACAAAACATCTGACCTTGATAATGGTGACTTAATCTGATGTGGACTTCAGGTAAAATTAGTGTTACCAAAGAAAGTCAGTCTAGCCAATGAAGCATCTTCATTGATCAGGAAGAATTCTGTAGAGAAGCTGGGAAAAAAAAAAAAAAGTTTGTAGACAAGTCTCAGGATCAGTGGTCAAACAGAACTTGTAAATAATATATACATGTAATAAATGGCAATGAGACAAAGACAGGATTACTGGAACCTCGGCATACTATATTGCTTATAAAATTTGCACATATGTAGCTCAAGCACCTTTTTAAGAATCCTCCTCCTGAGTAGATCCCATGATAAAAAGAGAAGATGGATGCATTTGACCAGCCATCAACAACAAATAGGCTAATGGTTTCCTCTAATGATCACTGTCTCTCCAGTTTTATAAATAAACACACAAGCTCTAATTAACAATGTTGAAGCTATTTTGGTAATTTATGTTCACTTCATATTTAGCTAATTATGTTTTTGCTAAATTTGCTATTTCGTTATTGCTAAAGATACTGGCTATTAGGCTATATGCTGCATATTAGTTATTCCTCGTTAAGTGATTTCGGCTTCAGTATTTGTTTACTTTAGTGATAAAAGTTAAGTTTTTTTATTTTTGTTTCTTCGGTCTCATGTAGTTTAACCTGGACGTTTGCTGTTTCCCAAGTGAATAAACCAGCAGCCTGAAAAGGCAGACTTATTTGGACATTCTTTTATATTTCCATATAAATCTAAAACCCTGACATTTCCTCAGTAGCCAGTATTGCATATAGGATATCAGCTGAAGTCTTCTATAATGTGTTCAAGGACGCTGGCGTGCCTACAGCCTATGCTATGAAGAGAATATTCCTGCCGCCAGCTGTTGTGGGGGATAAAATGAATCATGCCAACAGCTCTAAGTGTTTATTGTGGGAAAGAGTTTTTAAAAGTGAACTGTGATGTTGCATCACTTTTCACAGTTTTTACCTTGCATTCAAGTGAGTGACTGAATCTAGTTTCGTTTTTGTTCTTTCATGGCTGTATCATTTCTGGTGCTTTTTTTTTTCTTTCATCTGGCCCTAAATGTAAGAATGTGCAGCAGATTAGAAGCTATTCACCCAGAAAAGGCAAAATCCTGCCACCTGCTGGACAATCACTGAAAGATGTGACTGTAATGACCAATACAATTTTTAAACATTTGAATAAACATGGTAAAAATAAGTAATTAGGAGTCATGAATTGGGTTAATTGTTATAAATCTAATTATTTTTCCACTGATAAGGGAAAAAAAATGCTAATTCTGTGTGTGTGTTCTTATTATAGATCCATGGCGCGTGAGTGCTTGTGTGTTCTGTGTGTGTTCTCCGTGTGTGTATGTGTGTTCTGTGTGTGTGTTTGTGTGTTTTCTCTCTCTGTGTGAATGTGTGTTTGTGTGTTTTCTCTCTCTGTGTGAATGTGTGTGTGTTTGTGTGCGTGTTCTCTCTGTGTGTGTCTGTGTGTGTGTGTGTGTGTTGGCGTGTGCGCGTGTGTGCGTGTTACCGTTGCCATAGTAACCACCACACGCTGAAAGTGGAGCAGAGCCCGTGATTTTTCGACCTTACTTTTTTGCTTGAAAACTCATAATCGCGTACAAAATCATATCAACATTTGATTACCTGTAAGTGGGACTTTTGCAACGTGTTTTATGTTGCAATATATAAGTTTTACTTCATTAAATATTAAATATGTGCGTGTTAAATCGGGCAAACCAATGCTAACTTTACTTTTTTTGCTAACTTTTGCTTATTCCGCAGTGCTAACGCTAGCTAACAGTTCTTTGTGTTGGTATTTTTATTATTTTAAAGTTTAAGAGTGATAGATCGTGAAGGTTGCCATTAGCTTACTTGTTACTTGTTAAACTGCTAGGTAGATTTTCCTCAATCACTCCAGCTAGCGACACCGCATGGATATTTTAGCTAGCTAATTCTCATGCCTGTAATGTTAATGAATAGACGTGCAGTCAGAAAATGAGGGTAACTCCTGCATGTTTCCACTTCTTCTTTTGTCTTGTCACAGTGATCCCGCACCTGTGTCTGCAGCAGTATGAATCTATTTGAGGATGAGCAGGGCAGCCGGGCTCCCAGCGTGGAGGATGAAGAGGAGGAGGAGGAGGAACAGACGGAGGCAGAGCAGAGAATGGAGGACAGGCCTCTAGTGGCCATTACACCTGACGGCTCTCCACCACAGGAACAGGAGCAGCCCTCTACCTGCACTGACGGCTCTGCTAGCACTGCTCTACAGTATCTGGATGAGGTAAGGCAACGCAAGTGTAAATGTTGTAAAAGCACAAAACATTTAACAAACGAGTGAGGAGACTATGTTTTATGCATGTGTTTGTATAGCTCCTATAATCTTAACCAAGGTTACCCAAACTTTTTTTCTCATTTGGCCATAATTAATAGTTTTTTTGTGAAATGAGGGCATCACAATGTTTTGCATGTGAAGAGTGTATTTTTTATAGAAAGGGATTAAATTACCTTTATTATTAAACTCTTTAGGCCTACCTTTTTCTGCCAGGCCCACTTCTGATTGCTACTGACTTTACAGACTTTTTTGGCATTTCCACTTTAAATTCTAGAATACATACTAAAAATGATATAAAATAAGTTGATTTGTGTAAAATGTTAAAAGTTCATGAGCACCAATAAGTCAACAATGCCCCCGTTCTCTGTGAGGCTTGAAAATGGTGTTGTAGTAGAATAATTATAACTGTCCATATTGGCAGCCCTAAAATCATCCAACTGGAAAAAGAGCCACAGATAAAATGGTTGCTGTGGAAACTTCCTGAATAAGGTGAATAGATTTTTTGGTCTTTCTTCCAACAGACTTTTTCTTCTAGAGGAGAATTTGAATCAGCCCTGACACGTCTTACAAATCTCAGCAAACAATCGCAGGCCAAATTCTACCCCCTGAAGATTGGTCTAAAATAATATATATATATATATATATATATATATATATATATATATATATATATATATATATATTTATATTTATATATTTATTTATATTTATATTTATATTTTAAGGACAGGTGTTACAGGTGTCACCATAGAAAACCATGAGAATCACTAGTATTTTCCAGTACTTGACAGTGATTGATACATTTTATTGAGTATCACTTACATTAACAGACAGCAACATCACTGACACCAATGTCCAATCTTTCACAGCCGTATCAAACAGAATCTTGGCTCAGACATTTGTCCCTCGAAAGCTGTAAATGCAAGACTTCAGTGCACTGCAGACTACTTTTTCAAAATGTATTTTCATGCCTTATGTACACTCGATGTATACATTTTTAAGGTGCCTAAAATACAAAAAAGCTTAAAAAATTAAGCAGGCATTATGATTTCTGAGAGCATTGCAGTATACACAGCTGTAGGGTGAGACTGAACAGTTTTGTATAAAAAGTGCATATTTTTGGCATGATATTGATAATGAATGATAGAAAAGGTCAATGTTTTACATACAGAGAATCCTAAATACACATAATATCACTATATGAATGATATCGATAAAGCTCAAATATCAACACTCAAGACCTGACACATTTCATATTTATAAAAGCTTTCATAGCACTCTGAAGAAAATAAATACTGTACACGTCCATAAACATTCCATTTCTCATTCACAGTGTGTACACTTGTTAGGTGGTGCTATACATGTTTCTAACATTAGGCTGCAGTATTGTACAAGTGGGGAATCTGAACTGCTTTTCTAAAACTACAGTTGTGCAGTTATTCAGTGCTCCCAGTGTTGTGGAACAAGTCAAATGTATTCACTGTCAAGAGCAGTAAGCAAAATGTCAATAAAGTGAAATGTTCTTGGCACTGTCCCCAAACTAATTTCATTCTTGGGTCTATGGCAGAGGATGATGATGCGTTTCATCAGCATCACAGAATCCACACAGAAGCACACTGTCTTCTGGGTGCTGTGAATCATGGCTTTGATTTTTAATAAAACTGCTAAACTTGATAAGCCCTGCATGTGGTCTTAGCCATGAATTTGACACTGACTGGAAACAGTTTGATCAGCGCTCATATACCTCACATGAGTGCTTGCTGTTAATTAAGGAGCCATTTAGAGCAGGGAAAATGATAGCTCATTAGTTTTTAGTGGGATTGTGTGCTGGCCTGTGTCTCTGCTGCTGACTTTATGACAGGACTTGAACATGGAGGGATATGAGAGACATATCACATGGAAACCCTCCATGTGTTATTATGGCTCCTAAAAAAGACACTCCAAAAACGCCTGTTGGATTTTTATGTTTTTCTGAAATATTTTGTTACATACGTTGTTACATTCATGGCTGTTCTCTTGAATTGGAGAAAAATATTATTACTGACTTTGACTATTGACTGTTTAGAAGTAGGTACGGGTGAAAATGTATCAGTTGATACCAGTTTTAAGATATTCAGTGCCAAATTTCTTCTGCACTCACAGTTTCTATGTGCCCATGTATTGTTCTCAGTTTGTCTACAGTGCATCAGACTTGTTTTTTTGAGATTTTGAGTAAACATGGAAATAGAAGAGCAATTAGTAGACTAAAAGTATGCCTGTTTGTTACCACTATCATGCAACAAAATTTCATATCCCAGATAAATACATTTTGTTATTATTTTAAGAAAAGTGGAAAGTTTGTGATCTTTAATCCAAGATACATTAAGATACATTTTGGGCATTGCTATAGATTTGAAGGCTAAATATTCGTATCAGAAAATATCAATATATTAGATATTGGTAACTGCTCCAAAATCCATATTGGACCATCACTGTGTAAAGGTTTGTAATCAGATACATTCTATATTCTGGAATGGAGGCAACTGCATGAAAGTGTGAAGTGGGACATAATATGATTTCAGTGAAGAAACTTGGACTAGCCTCTGAATAAACTGAAATCTCCTGGGGAGTTGGCAAATGATAACTTCTGAGATGTGATATTAGAGCGGGGTTTAAAGACATTCACAATTATAATTTGCCTCTTGTCAGCTCCATTTCAGAATTTTGAACTTTCTGATTACATTTTAAAGGGTCTGTACTGCATTCAATGTGTCCACGGGGCTTGTTCTGTTGTGTGTGCATGGTATGTGCATGTACAAAGTATAACACATAATTTCTTCCCATGTTTATCTGTTTAACTTTCAACATTTTTCTGGTGAATATATTTAGGGTGCATAGTTTTTGGGCCTTATCATCATCCTGACAGTCTTGAAGGCCTGTCTGTAGTTGGTCGGGTAGTACTCCGATGACATGTTGTGCCAAGTGCCCCAGAAAATGCCATTCCTGACTCCCTTGTATCTCTTGTGATAGTACTTCCCATTGAGGTTGGCTGACATGCAGGCGTCAAACCACCATCCCGAGCTGTAGTATGCGCCGCAGTTTCCAGAGGGGTACATGTCATTGTCACGGTCTGGAGTGGAGAAGAACTTCTGGTCATGGTTGAAGTGTTTGTTGAAGCTCATGGCGTTCCCAGCTGTCCCACTGCAATGAGAAATTTATACATGTTCATAAATACTTAATCTTCCACCTTACACAGACACCAGTGTTTTCCATTAATACAGGCGATTATGGTGGCCTTTCTTAGTCTAATCATGGGTTTTAGCTCCTTGTTATGAGCAAGATTTTGAGGACTTTTCATCATTCAGATAGCATATTTTGTTTTAAATTGTTATGGCAATGATCATTAGTTTTTCCATCATTCTCACACCATGGATAATTCTCCCCCATACAACAACTGCACTGCTGAACTGGCCCTGTACCCAATTTTCTCCCATGTATTTGAGCAAAATTTGTCATGCCCCAGTAAAGATATGTATAAGCAGCTCTTGAAGTCAAAATAAGTCTACTGTTTACTATCCGCATCTAATTAGAAAGCACTAATTGTCTGATAATCAGGAGTGCACATTAACATGCTCATTGTTGGCATTAACATCACAGCAAAACTCCACTCTGGTCTCTGAGAGTTATAAAATTGCTTATATAATCGTCACGACGAATAATTGGGTAAGTGAGGAATAACTTTGGATTGGTAACTGTTCTGTTTTTAAGACAGTAAAAATCAGGTATAGCACATTGACATGACAAAATCTATCAATAATTAGAACAAAATAGCAACTATACAATTAAATAAGTATGATAAACACTGAATTCTTTACCTGTATCCACTGATGGACAGCCGATAGCGAAGGAATTCATTGGCCAGGTAGAACTCATCAAACTTTGCATACTCCCTCACTCCCTCAAAGTCCTCCAGGTCTATGCGCAGCACCATATCTCTAGCTTTGGTCAGCAAATGGATGTGGTCATTCCCCAGCCAGAACTCACCCCTGCAGAAGGAGAAATACGATATATTTTATACTGAATCAAGTGTGGGCATGTCAAGCATCGTGAGCAGCCAATATCGAGTGCTTGTTGCATCCTAAAATGGGTTCACTGCCTGGCCAAACACAGTGAATTTTACATTAGTATAACTAGAAGCACTACAGAAGTCAAGACATCCACAAGTGCAATGAATATAAAGACGAATGCAAGGACTTTGTCTCCTGAGCGTAAACTGTCTACACTGTTGACATCTGTTTACTTTACATTTGTGAATGGGGTTCCCTTCTCACAATGATAGATATGAAATTGGATTACATAGACGTTATAGCTGAGATTCAGATAACATTACAACATTTTATAGGCCAATATCATTTAAAATTAATATGGGTAAAATATAGATTTTTTGTTGGCCAGCTTCAACATTTATTTATTTAACTTTTGGATATTTCATGGCAAAATTCAGTGTTCACTGGGGAAGTTGAGAGAATCTGAAAACCATTATTTTTATTACTTTTTATTACTGTTTGTCTATTTACACTATACTTTGCTCTGAAATATCCAAAAGGCAATTGCATAAATGTTGAACCTAATCATTTCTGCTATTGACTAGAGACTAGACTCCATTCAAAAGGAAATTCAGCATTGTAACAATATTCATTTTAGCTGCCCTCATCTGTATTAAAGAATATTGGCCTACAGAATCCATTTCAGCCTAAAATGTTAAGCCAAAAATGATAAAAGTATTTTTGTACCTGTCAGTGGGAATATGAATTTGGCTCTTACTTAATTTGTCAGCCGCTACCTTTGGTAGTACATTATGTGTTGCCTACTGGCCATACTAGACTCCATAGAAAGTAGAATTGAGACACATAATTAATCCCTTGGTGCAACAAGCGACTGCAGCTTGTTATGTACTGGAAATAGAGAATTAGCCTATTATTTTTTTGGGCAGCAAATGACATTTTGTTGTGGCCCCATTAAAATGCATATCAGCCCATAATTACATTGGGCCATCAGCAAAATTGAAGCTAACTTTTCTTTTATGCAGTGTTTTTCTTATCGTCTAATTTTTTGCAATCATTTTAGCTGGGTCCCAAGCAGATGGCCGGTTCCAGTTTGATGGGCCTGTTCTAGTGGTAAATTGGAGGGGAGGCATGCATAGCTTTTTCGTATATTACTCGCCATGCACACACGCTAATGGGTTTCATCTTAATATACCACTGGGACGACAGTTTTTTTCTATATATTGAAAAACAATTGACTTTATGAGTTAAGTGCATATGACTTTTTCATGTTTTTCTAATTATTGCTTAGTTTGTACTTGTGGATTTTTTTTTACATCAGTGAAGTGTCAGTTTGTGGAAAAAGTTGAGAAAAAAGTACAAAAATACAGAAAGTAGGAAGTCGTTACAAATCGGAATCTCTCTACTTGCGCCATCAATACCAAAAATTCCATCCCGAATGCAAGGACAATTTATGCACAAGGAAGGCATTTTTCTATAAGTTTAAACCAATAAAGGTGTTCTCCAAACTTAGATTTAGATGAGCTTTATTGATCCACAAGGGAAATTATTCAAATAATTTCTATTCTGGATCAGTAAAGTCTAAACCAAATCCTTTACTGACAGAGGATTGGCTGTAGATCTCTGGATTAAAAAACCCAACCACATCATAGACGATTTGATTAACTGCACAACCATAACCCAAATCACACCAAAATATTATGGCTATACCTTAGATTTCCAAAGCCCTTTTTGTACTCGGCCCAGGTCCGGTTGAAGCTGACAGAGCCGTTTAGTCTCTGCTGGATCACGGTCCACCCCCCTCCGTAGGACTCCATTTCACAGAAGACCTCAAATGTCCCGTTGCGAGGATCAGGAGTGACTCTGTAAACTCCGTTCTTCCTCTCCTGCAGCACGAAGTCGGAGCAGTCCCTCGGGGCCAGGACGACTGTTGGCAGGCCGACTGAAAACAAAAAGGCAAAGCAGTTTAAAGAGACTGCGCTCTGAATGCGTTTTCATTTTTCTCTGGCATTTTCTCGCTGCTAAACCAAGGGACTGTAAAACCAACAATCCCTTAGGCGCAGACAGGAGAAAGTATATGAGAATGAGAGAGTGCTATCTGGGCAGGCAAGCCAAGTTTCACTTTTTAGTTTTGTACAAATATTTCTTGGTAAATGTTTACAATGGAAATGGCCAGACGCCGGTCAACTATAGATGATTGAAACCTTTATTGCCCCAGTGGAACTTGTCTTGCATAGAGTTGTTGCATTATTAAATTTGAACACATCAAGGCAATGCAATACTTGATTATAAACACATACTTTTTTATAATATAGAATGTGGTAATGAGGTATTTGTACCAGTTTTCACTATAAAAATGAGTATATAGTTTCAATACTCGTTCTGCTATGAATTATATTCTGGATAGTGTTTTTCTTTTTCTTTTTTTTGTTTAATCATCTTGCGCATGATAGTACAAAAGCGAGAAGAGGAGACTCACAAATGTTAAACAGACGGTCAACATTTTGCCACAAGAAAAAGCAGTAAAGTGTCACATTTGAATGGTTTTGACAATACTGGATGACGGTGTTAGAGCATCTTCAAAAGGCCAACTCTTGTGGGATGTTTCTGGTCAGCAATGGACAGTTTAGTCAAAAGTAATCCAAAAAGGAAATAGAGCTGAACTGGTGACAGGTGATGGACAGGTGCGCTACTCCAGTCAATGAGTTCCTGTATTGCTCAAACTGTGGACATTTTTAGTATTCCCTAGAGAAATGTGTCTGAATAAAGAGTATATCGCTAATGGTGTTATTTAGAGCTAAGTGTTATGCCTGTCTATGATTGTAGGGAACATGGGTTGCCAAGTCTTGTATTAATCCCTAAATGCACCTGTCTCTGCTTTTTAATACAGTGTGAAGGAAAAGACTTCCACCTGCACAGAGAGTCCAAGGACAAAGGCCAGTGTCAATCGATAACAGTCTAATGCACTATGGTCACATTTCATACAGTGCAGCTCAAAACTCTCTCTCCTCCCCCTCTTGCTCCCTCTCCCTCTCTCTTTTTCTGCTTTGTCTCCCTCTCTTTCTCCTTCTCTTCTCTCTCTCTCTTTCACTGTCCCACTTCTTTTTCTTCCTATTTCTTTCCTCTTTCCTTTTTGTCACTCTCTTTCTTTCTATTCCCTCACTCTCTCTCCTCTCTCTTTCACCCCTCCCTCTTTCTCGCCTGCTGAGTTGCACGGTTTGATACCATAACTTCCTCCACTGCACTGACCCCATCCAAAACCCAGGTGGAGTGAGCTTTGTCAGTTTGCATTTTAAAACACAGAGAGGAGTCCCAAAAAACAAGAAAAACAAAAGTGAGTGTGAAATTGGATTAAGCAGGCCTTCCCCCTTGTTGCGAGTTTTGGACCTCCTGCTCAAATCATTCTGACACAGGGCAAGCTTCGTGTGGACCCTCGCGCACTTCTCCAGACATCCCACTGCTTAATCCCTTTTGGAAACTGAGCTTAAAGGGAACTGCAGTGATGCGTAGTGTGAGCGGAGCAGTCGTCATATCCAGGTTACTTAACATTAATTATTCTGTCCAGTATGATGAATGGCTGGATAGTTTATAAGAAACTGCAATTTGAGAGGGAACAATTGGCTAAATTCAAAAGCAGCAAATCTTTAGCTAACATACAGTCTAATGCAACTAAATGTAGAGGCCTTTAATTTAAATATTTCGGCTTTTTTGTGTAGTCCGTTCACGTTTTGGGCTACACTTTTGGATGCATTGTTGTAATATTATCTCAATAAGGAAAATAAATCACGTTGAATTGCCCAAACTTGCTTGGCTACAAAACTTACTATCCCTGTAGTTTTGACCTCTACAGTTTCGAAATATGATTTTTGTATTAGTTTAGTAGATCACAGTTTCATCTTTTCTCAAATATCGCAGATTTGTAGATATGCACTGTGAATGTGAATTTTGTTTAAAAAGAATTCCAAACTCATTCCAACAGGCAATACTTTTCAGACAAATTGCTATATCTTTTAGCTCAGCTTTGACCCTCATCACAAGTTTTGGCCTATGAAATTGTTTTTATATCTCCTACACTTGAAGTTGATGACTATGGTTCTGCACTTCACTCTCCACTCTCTTATTTGTCATCTGTCGGCCTGGTGTCCCTCGGCCAGACAAGAAGAGCCATCACATCTCATTACCTTGGGCACAGCGCCTGACCCAAATAACTTTAATATGTGCCTCTTACTGATGCCCAGATGTTTGCTGATTGGCTGTCCCACTGGTGAGGGGCCGGCCTGCCTGGATATGCCCTTGCCTAATAACTTCTGTGATGGCCAAGACGACAGATCGAGTGATAAGGTTTAATAAATGGCTTCCAACACTCTGTCAGAGTGCATGCACTTAACTTATAAGCGGGGATGGGTTGAGTTATAATCTTATTCAATTAAAGGTGATTTTATTGCTCAAAAATACCTAGAAAAACAATGCTCTGACTGTGAGCAGGGCCGCCTCTCCGCAGATCTGACCTGTAAATTGGCCTGGTTTGGTCTCCGTGAAGATAGAAGGATTAAATAATGCCATACTGTGAAACATTCCAGACAGAGCAATAAGATCTCCATAGAGAAAAGCATGTGACAGGCCCTCCACCAGAAAAGTTAGTTTCTGACACCAAACTTTTACTTCTGCTTGAGTAATATTTTTGAAGAGAAAGTCTTATTTTTAGAAAACAAAAGGTTTCTCTTCTCATTGTGAGTAAATCTTTAAGTGACAAAACCAGCTTACTTTCAGATATCATTATACTCAATTTATTTTGTCTAATTGATGTCGTATTTTTTGGAAATATCAGAATCTGTTCATTATTGCTTTTTTCACATTTTGTTAATTAATTCTTAAAAGTAATATTATTTCCAAACATTTACTTGACCAAATAATTTTTGAATGTGATTTTTACATCTTACAAGTAGATATTCTGCATACTACTTTTATACCTATAGGATCAATGATTCTCTCTTCACAGCCTTGCCCGTAAGTGACTGGCATTAATTGGAAGTCAACTCTCCTATCTACATACAACACAGTACCCAATGTGCAGGCATGTATATAGATAAGCCAGAGACCAGAAATGAGGGTGCACTTCGAGATACACAATAAAATTTAATGGCATAGAACTCATGAAAAGCTCCCAGACTTCCTCTTGGAAAACAGTGCGTTGCCACAGTGCAGAGACATTTCCTGATGAGGCAGCACACAACTGCACATCCATTCTCTTTGCCTGAATTGAGTTAATGTAGCTGAACTGTAACATGAATTGCTGTCCATTCACCTCAAGGCCCTCATATGTCTCGGGGGAGTGAGCGAGAGAGAAGAGAGGAGAGGTGCGTGGATGGGGTTTGACAATAGGTTGAAAATAAATGCGAGCAGCGCGGAGCATTTTGACTGTGCTTGACAAGAGCTCCTCAGATTCAGCTTGAAGGTGAAAGTCCGCTTCACATCGAAACCAAAAGACAGCCCTAGTTCTGCATATATAAGCATAATCTTGCTCACACAGTTTCAGTTCCCACTGGCCTCTCATTTAGCTTTCAGGAATTCTGTGCTATTGAATTATAACTCAACTTTAAGCTATTCATGATTTTGAATTTTGGAGTTAGCTGCATCATAAATCACTAAAATCCACAGGGATCCTTAGAATTAAATTATTTTAATATTTTTCTGACATATTGACGTCACAGATTTTATTAACCTGTATACATGTATAGATTTATGTGCATGTAAGAAGGTATTTACAGTATTGTTTATTGAGTTGGATAACAATTTAATTTGGTGTTTTAACAATGAAGTTGAAGCTGGTTGGTGTTGGCGGTTTTTGCCTGTCATACTGATTGTTGACGAGGGAGGCTGGAGTGTGTTGGCCCAACTTCCTATGCTGTGCTCTGTGGGACTCAGTGAGTGACAAGCTGTCAGCATCCCCCAAACAGTCAGATCTGATTTGGCCATGAAATCTTCTAGGAAAGTAGAGTGAAAAACTTTGGCTTGTGGCTTTATTGTATGTGGTTGCAGTAGACGACTAGTTTTATTGGCTGTAAGGGAGTGTTGTGGTAGAAAATACTGCATAAAATTATGTAAGAATAGCAGTAAATTGGGCTATTCTTGTCTTTGAATTTAAAGCTTCCTGCAAGGCATAACTGTACACACCATCACCATTTCTGTATATTTTATAGGGCTTCGCAAACTAGTGGTACACAGGATGCCTCTGGTGGAATGCAGGGCACTCTGCAGTTTGAGTATTTGTTATATTTTGAGACAAATCTATATATGTCTGTCCCTGTTTGGGTTTATACAGTCTAGAACTACCTTATTCACTACTACTAACAAGGCCAAATATTTTCTTTGGTGGTGCTTGGAGTGAAAAGTTTGTAGCTCCAAGTTTGGTCTTTGAGCTGTTGAAGTTATCGATCGACCTTCATTATTAATCACATGTTTTTATCTGTAGTGAAGCATGTTTTGTAAAATGCCCTTGTAGTCTACATTGAACCGGATAAACTGACATTCAACATATAATTTTCTTCACTTCTAATGTTATTTAGTTGCTGGCTCTACACACACATTCTTCATTGTACTTTATACAATATTCCATAGCTAAAACAGGACTGCAGTTGATGTGTTAAGTAATTCAAGTGTTTTTTTTTTGTTGTTTTTTTTACTTGTTTTGACTTCGCTGTAGTCTCTTTGCAGTAGTTTGTTTATTTCCATGGAAACAGCAGCCGTTATCTCTTTCTTTTGGATTCACTTCAGGCATCATCAGGAATAAACGATAAGGTAACATGAAGCGCACTCTAGCATGTGTAACTGTTTGAAACTCATTAATATACAAAGACATGTGTTGTTGACCCTGATTGCCCCTGTGACCAAAGTCTGCCTACATTGTTTTGGTGAGAGATAATGAGGAATAGTTGTTTTTATGCAAGGAAGAACCCTCAAGAGCATGACCTACAGACAAAAGGATGGAGGAAGAGAGGAGAGGTAGACGCACGACTTGGGAAAAGTGGATTAACAGCAGACAGAGAGAGAGAAGGTAAGAGGAGGATCAGGGACAAAGCAGAACTGAAGGGCCGTTTGTCGGAACGTTTAGGGAGGAGAAGAGACACAACACTGGGTTTCCCTTCACACCAGTGCCCCCCATAATCTACTTAGAAGAAATAAGCTCCCATCAAAATCCACCACATTTTACATTTATGCTGCTGGATCAAAATTCTATTCGCTTTCACAGAACTTGCTGCAATGCTTCAGAGAAAAGCATGGAATCTTTTGTTTAGCCAATTTTGACATGATAAACATTTTTAAACAAGCCAAGAATCTGTCTTCCCCTCCCTAAATGTGAGTTTCTCCATATGGACCAGAAGAATTTCATGGTCAGGGGTCCTTGAATAGGTTATGTAAGGTGCAATTTCAATTAGTTTTTGACAGAGGTAGTATTGGTTTCTGACTTCATTGTAAAGCTATTTCACAATAAGGATATTAAGGATACCGTCCACGCTTGATTCTCTGCCCTCACACATTAGTATCACTTGAGTCAAGGTTAAATTGCCTGTGCTTGCTCTTATTATGCAATACCTGAAAATCCTTGTTTTTCCCATCTCCAAAACCTGTGTTTGCCTTGTCAATAGAATATTACTAACACACAAGGTCGCCCACACTCTCTCAATCACAAAGTTCCACCCGCTGTTTCAACAGACCACCCTGTTGGAATGTTTCTGAGAAGTTATATCTATGTGATTCATCTAACATGCCTCACTGTACTGGCAATCAATAAAGATGAATTAAACAAAGATAAAAATGCTCTAGAAAGTGATATAGGGTGCTGAGAAACATTTTTGGTCAACAGATAAGGTTTTGTGAAAATCAGTATAATAATTTAAATATATGACATAATGATGAACTAATACTGTGCATTAAATCATTAAATCCATGCTTACATTGGGGGCTGGTCTGTGCGGGGCACGGAGTGTTGCAGGAGGTGCTGAGCTTGTTGACCACTCCCGTAATGTTCTCCACACGCTGGTCCACCATGGCCTGCACATTCTCCATGTTGAGCAGGTTGAGCACCTCGAGGCGCCCCTGTAGAGCAGAGATCTGGCTCCTGGCGTTGCGCAGGCTGGCAGACATCCGATTGAGCTTCACCTGGAAAGGACCACAGCAAAGGGAAGGAAGTCATCTCTGCGTGCAGAATATAAAGCAGGTAGATTACTCGAGCCGCCAGCCTCTTCATTGTTTCAATTAAGAATTTAGAAGAGAAACAAGGCTGAGTGATGCCTGGCTGCCGGCCAAAGTAGTGCTGAGAGGCGACGCGCTCACCAACCCCAGCGAAAATGGACCTTCATTTGAGTGCAGTGAGATAGTGATTCCCGCCCTGTTTACAGAACCAGGAATGTTCCCCCCAGGACCGTGCCATGGAGGACTTTAGAGCTCTTTGCATCTGCTCAGTGCACATTCCAGATGACTACATCTGAATAGACATATTTATGTAACTTTGCACATTGTTTATAAAGCACATTTCACATTTTGTTTACATAACCAGCCTCCACAATTATAGGTATGACATTAATGCAGTTATACATGGCCTAAATCTAAGTAGACACAGTTGTGCAATCCTGCTGTTGGCATTGTTGCACACATTTCTTTCATTTTTCATTATTGTATAATGTATTATTTATTACTATTTATTACTATTATAGTATTTATTATGTATTATAATTATTACTTTTTAAAAAGTCAATTATTTAAGTAAGTAATTTTTATGAAAATTCTCTTTCATTGTCCATTGTCATGGTGTCCATTTACCAAAAACAAATGATTATTTTAAAATAAATAATAAGATCCTAGATGTTTTGTTTTTTTTTTGGGGGGGGGTTTGTCAGCTTTAAGGCATTTTCTTGAGTGTTTCACCAAGAATATTCTCATTATTCAGTTATGAAAAAAATCCTCTTACCTGCATTTCCAGCAGAGAGCTTGGGCTGGGTGTCATTTTGCTGAATATTGGGACTTGTCCAGCTCCGGTGACATCCTGTGCTCCAGGGATGGTCCCGTCTCCGCGCTCCTCTTGGCTGGACCCTGTGAACAGGTCCTGTCCTGACAAATCCACTCTGTGCACCTCCTCTGCATCCCTCTGGACCTCGACCTGCTCCTGCCCCTGCTCAACTCGATGATGGACCCGAGCACCGCGGCACTCCTGGCAGCTGCTCTTCAGTTTGTTCACCTGCTCTTTGAGGCTCTGCAGCTCCTTCATAGTTTTCTCCAGTAGTTTGAACTGCTTAGGCATCTGGATGGTGAGAGGAGGCAAGGTGAGGTGATAGGGACAGTCCTCCTGGTCCTCGGTGGTCCCACACTGGCTCGAGGGGCGTATTTTAATGGGACAAGATGCTGAAGTCCCAGACTCGTATGCTCCCCGTACGTCCCATCTCTGGTGCCCATTGAGAGGGAAGTCTGCTGCCCGGCTGCTGCCTGGGACCAGTGCGGCTGTCACCAAGACTGTGGCAAAGATGCAGAGCACAAGTGTCCTCATTTTCTTTTGCCGATTGTGTAAAAGTTAAACAATCTCCAAAAACGTCTCTGCAATGTTGTAAGAAGTGTGAGTCTGAAAGCGTAGGGATGTAAGTCCACTGTCCGTATGTTTAAGAGAGAGAGAGCGCGCAGAGAGCAGTCTGCAGGAGGCAGAGCGCGCTGGGGAACTGCCGCTGCCTCAGATAGCTGTGTCATTAATATCAGGAGGAGAGAGAGAGGCAGGGAGGGAGGGAGGTATGGTGCTGTGGAAGGGAGGGGCACAACTATTGCGTAATGCAAAACACCATATCCCCAGAAAACATGGAGATGCAGGCAGATTATGTGAGAGGGGAGAAAGGGGGAGAGGGAGGAGAGGGGAGAGAGAGGGGGAGAGGTGCACCCGCTGCAGTCAGGTGCCTCGCTGCTCATTTCCCTCAAATGATTCTGTTCACTGGAACTCTCCACTCCACAGCGCTTGGGCAACGTGCTTCATCTCTTTCCTGTTTTTGTGGTTTGGTGGTTCTCTGTTGTATGACCTTAACCAGATGAGCTATGAACTATACTGAGCAACAGTAGGTTAGACAAGAGGGAGGCACTATAAATCAATGCAGCACAGTGACTACAACAGAGGAGAAAGCATGTCACTTTGCCATATATTTGGTTGATGGAAGCTTATTTTTAACAGTATTTCAACACAGTATTTTAATATGATAAAATCCAATACACATTCAGATTCCATATTGGAAATTCATAAGACAGTGGCCAATAAGCATTTTGCGGCTCTTTTATGCAGTTGCCTTTCATAAAAAAAATATATATATATATATATTTTTTTTAACTTTTGCACGGATGCCCTTCCTGTCTTAACCAGCTACATACTGTGATCAAAGTAAGAAGTAAGTCTTTCTTCCGGATGCCTGCCCTGCACATTTGTCATATCTCTGGACCTAATAGGAGATAGAAAAAAACATCCAATTTAAACAGGAAACAATAAATTGACCTTGTGGATGATTACAATGCTGTTATTCATGGCTCCTGTGATTACTAATAGTACAGTAATTGTGGTTTTGTTTAGCCAAGTGTTTAATGGGATTTAAACTGTGATAAATTTTCCATTTCAGTTATGTTTGTGTTGAAATAGATAATTAGTCAATACTACCAGTCAATATTAACGAAATACATTACACACACATGATGCAAGTGTGGTCTTGCCAGTGGCTTTATAATGTGCTCAGAGGCTTCCGCTTATTACAACAGACGTGCAGTTAATCATGGTGAACAAAAGCTATACATTATTCTGCTCATATTAACTTGGACTTTATTCATTTGAATTAGGACAGTGCTTATTAATCAATATGTCAGCAAGCAGTTTCAACATAAATTTGGGATAACACAATAGCATTCATTATCTTAAGGGAAAAAAATATGCACAATAAAAAAACAAGAAACACTTTCAATATTTCAACATTTAATAGACAACCGCACACATGACATAACATAACATGATCTAAACCATCAGAAGGTAAACAGACATTATTACAGTAAAAACAGCAGCCAGAAGTTTAAAGGCCCCAAAAGCAGAAGATCTGCTGTTCTTACTGGTTCATTTTAGGACTGTCATTTCCTAAAAAAGCTGTCAAAACAATTCATTATCTCTATGATCTGACCTTGTAATTGCACTCAAAATAGTAGAAGTTCATGGAAAAACAACTATTATACTGAAAAGTACTAAGAAAGTGTATTTACATAGCAGATTAAACACAGGATTTACTCCAGAATCTTCAGATAATCCTCTCCCTACTTTCTCTTTTCTGCTATGTGCATATAAATCTTTATATTCTAAATAAAATTACTAATAAATAAACATTTAGTTGACTAATACAAGTTTTGGTCAACTAAGGCTCCATCGACTACATTAGACTACAGCCCTAATTCATTTTCAACACATTTTTAATAACTTTGTAAAGGTTGAACAGTTGCCACAGACTTTGATTTGTTCTGACAGGATATTCCATAATTTCCTACCTCTGATAGACACCAGCAAATCTTTACTTTCATAACCAACTGTAGATGGTTAATATTTCATTGACAGAATTTCTCTGACATCTTGAGTCATATTTCCAGAGAAGCAGCAGAGTTTCAGATAATTGATCTCATCCTCACAAGTGGCTGTGTGCCCTGATGGAGGAATCCGCCACAAAAGAAAATACAGAGACACAAAAACCTCCCATAACAAAGCGATTCAATCTCGCTGTTGGCTCAACTTCAATTCCAGCAGTCAATATGAGGACATGAACACATACAAAGAGCGGTGGCGGTCCTCTCCATCACACAGTGCACCCTGCGTCCTATACAGAGAGCCAGTCATTATTTTTCTCCCCGAGGTGCAGGGTATTAAAGTCTACAGCTGCTGCTCGGCCCACCCTTCACATATTTTATGCACAGGTCTGCAGTGCTAATATTTTACACCAGCGCTTGAGGCAGTAAGACAGGTGTGTATGCTCCCTCTGCTCCTGTTGTGGTCCACACCTTCCAATGATTGTGTCCGTATCACATATAAAATACAGGCTGCTCTCTGACTGAAGTTTCCGCCTGAAATATTTTGGTGAAGCTTTGGAGACTGTGAGACGAGTTTTAAAGTTTGAGTTGGATAAATTCTAGCAAAATGTCCATCACAGTGGTTTGGTTTGACATCTATGTTTGACGAAAATACAAAAATGAAATGTGCATTACTTAAAAAAAAAAATCTACCGTACATGTAAAATCATGCATACATTGTAAGATAAATTGCAATGAGTGTTAAGCATTAAGATTATTAAATACAGTTAACATAGGGCTTGGTATTGCAAGTTACAATACATCGATATCGGGTCCACTGTGCAATACATGTCCCAATACTTGCCTTTCCCTAAAAAAATAAAATAAAAAAGTGCACTGAATAGATGTTTTTTATCACACACATTTACAAAAACCACTGGAATTTTAAGGTTCACACTGCCCTGAACACATGGGATTTATGAATGACTCACTTCCTCAGCTCAGCAGGTTAAGCCTTAATGCACTTGTCAGCTTGCCTGGGATCCAGAATACATACTTCTTCAATACTTTACGAAGATGTCAGACTGGTCACCAGTGGATCTCTCAGTTTTCAGATGGGCATGATTGACAGGTGGATTAACCATTCAGGGACACGCGAAGTCCATTGTATCGGAAAAAAATGAAAGGAAACAAAAAATATGAAAGGACTGAATAACATTGCTGATTTGTGCAGAATCAATGCACAAAGCACTAAACTCGATTAATATGAGGTGAGATAAAGTTGATTTTATTTGTAAATAATTAGTGGCCAATGAGCTCCTTTGTTTAACAGGTGTCATTGAAAAAAAAACAAATCTGATTGCACAATGACGTTTGACCGGGACTGAGACACAACAGAGGGCGTGGGGGCCAGACTGTTATCAGCCTGTGTAAAAAATATAACAAATCATCAATCAAAACAAAAGTATTGATTATTGATTATGACTACGTTGATATTTTGAGTACATAATTAACAACATTAGCGCTGCTAGTTGACTAAATAGATTGTGGTTTGGCTGAAGACATGGCATGCGAACTGACTAACTTAGTGCTAACTTCCAAAACAATTTACTATATTCTTATATGAATATATGATGATCTGACTATGCATCTGATCTGAACAGCATGCATAAGACACAATAATAACCATGTATATAGTACTTACTAAACACCATCTCATTGTAAAAACAAAACAAAAACTTATGTCATGGTTTACTCCCAAAACTTCAGCTACCTCACTCCATACCTTCTCCTTTCAGCTGTTGATAATGAATTAAACAGTTGTCAATAATTGTCAGTAATAATAATGTTAGTCAAGCAAGACACCATTGGCCAATTAATAGACTAAAGGCCTATTACAGCCCTACTTCACATAAACAACAACATAAACATAAACAACAATAAACAAAAACATCTCTTCTCTTACCATTTTTTACTGTACAATCATGTTAGAGTTAGTAAGTGTCGGCTTTACCAAATGTTGCTCAAATCTGCCAATCACACCTCCCATTACTTTACATTACAGACTTATTTGAATGCACCAGTCCGCCTCAAGTATTAATTATTTAGCCCCAAGTATTAATTATAGTTGACGAGGCTCTTCCAAGATGCACTTAAGAGATAATCACACATTTTGTTGTTGCTGTGTGACCACGGGTGAATGCTAATGCACACTTACTGAAAACATTAGAATAAATCACATTAACAACCACTGTAATCTACATCATTCACCGCAGTCATATCTCCGTCCCTTTCAGCCCTTGGGACGTGCCAGGCTTGCGCAGTTATTTGAAACAATAGCCAGATAAACAGAATAATGGCCTAAATCTGAAAACAGAATCGCACCAAAAAAACATGTTTGAAGCTGGGCAGAGATACAGCCACCATATGTGCATGTGCATCTAATCATAGGGCGGATATTCATCACAATGTGAGGACTAAATCTGTACACACTCACATTATGGGGAGTGGCATCCTTTGTGCGAACAAAAATCTTGTCCCCATGACGTAAATCCTTTAATATCAACAACATGGTTTGAAATTAAGAGGTTAAAGGTCCTATATTATGCAAAATTGATTCCTGTGAGCTTTAAGCCATGAAAGAATGTTGTTATCTTGTCAAAAAACATACCCAGAGTTGTGTTTCATTCACACATGTTTGAGGAAATCTTTATTAAGCTCTATTCCACCTGAGGTCATGTAGCTTTCAAGTTAACAGCTACTTTTTACCCTTTGTCCAGAGATTGGCTAGCCAGGCTGGTGGCACCTAGTGCCTCCGCTCAATTTCATTTTTCTCCAGCAACTAGGACAGGAATCGGAATACACCAGACGGTTCGCAAAAACCCGGAAACTGCAGATCATGCATCGGCCAATCAGCGAAGAGTCATATATTCTACGTTGGCAACAATTCCCGAGGATTTAAAGTCGGAACAAAGACAATGTTAGGTGAATTTTATCAAGGGGAAAGACATTATCACCCTTCTTCCTATGGGATTTAGGAAAAGCTTAATATACCATTTAGCCCTGTTAGCGACACATTACATATGTCACGACCAAATAGCAGCAGTTGGTTAAATAAAAAAAAGTTCCCGCTTACCCTCAAGCGAACGAATCCTAATGCTGCCAGGTCAGATGGATTCCATGAAGTGAAACTGTCTGATGGATCAGGCTAGATTGGCAATTCCAGGACTGAAATTATCCAAATTATTCTAGTGAAGGTGTATGGAGTTTAAAAACATAAAGGAGCACTTGCTGTATTACCATATGACATCGCATGGTGGAACAGAGTGTTTTCACTTTGAGAAGAACTTAGCCTAAATATGCAGGGTTTGTGCATTAAACGTGTGAATAAAACAAAACACACCTTTAAGTATGTTTTTGATGGGGAAGCAACATCATAAAATACATCAGAAAATCAACAAGTTCTCTGTCTCTGTTAGCATGCTAGTTGTTGTTACACAAACCGTGATGGCAAAACTCCTACCTGGCCACGGAAAGTTGTGAAACATGTTCATAAACTCATCGCGGTGAGTAATTATGATGCTAGAAATTGCAAAGTGAGGAATAACTTTGGACCACTTTGCAAACCATTTTTAAGACAGTAAAAATCAGGTACGGTGCTTTTAAGGTTAGACAAGTAGTAACTAGTTATGATTAAGTCCAGTCTCAAGGAAATGAGTGTAAACCAAGGAATATAATGTCCCCAAAAAGGATAGAAACCCAACATATATGCTGGTGTGTGTGTTCACTGCCATTAGATTACCTGCTACACAACGTGACCCTAGATATCCCGAAAGGCTGCAGCTGGTGATACAGACAAGCCTATTCCTCATTACTTCTCCCCCACTCCAGTGCCCTGCCTCTGAAGATAAGAAGGGAACAACACCTGTCCTCTACTTCTATCACAGACAAACCCCACAAACTAAACTACTCGCCAGGCCAGAGGAATCCGAAAACAACCCCAGACGTAATTTCCCCTCTTTCAAAGCCTCTGACCTGTTCCTTGCCCTGTCTGCTTTACTCTTTACCATGTTTTTTATCTATATTCCCTAATACTTTAAACCCCAATGACTGCAGCTAAACTAGGTACACTGTATACATTGTCACAACACTTTTAACCTTCTAACCTTCTTAAAGCATGAACAGAATGACAGAATGATTCAAGCGTAGCAACTTATTAAAGGGACAGTCTGGAATTTTGGACATAGGACCTCATTTGCTAGTTAGCCAGTGTGCTGGAGACGTGTGAAGACACTTTTTAAATTATTCGATACAGTCCTTGTATTTGCAGAGGTCGCTTGTGCTAGGCTAGTGCATGTCAATGGCCATAGTTAGCCTCCCGCTAAAAACAGTCTTACCCACTCCACAAAGCACCCGAAGCAACTCTGTTATTACACCAGACTGTCGATGTGAATGAAGGGACTATTTTCACAACAGCCAATAAGCTAGGTACTACGTGATATCCATCCACCACTGCCAAGCTTTCTGTCATTAAGTACAACTCGCTGCTGCTGCTCAGACATAAATTCTTCATATGCAAGGTTGGTTTTACTTCTGAAATTATTATATCAACACAGACATTCACATCGACAGTCTGGTGTAACTATGGTGGATAACTATGGCCATTGACATGCACTAGCCTAGAACCAGCTACCTCTGCAAATACAAGGACTGGATGGAATATTTTAAAAGGTGTCTCCACACATCTCCAACACTCTGGCTAACTAGGAAATGACATACTATGTCCAAAATTCCAGACTGTCCCTTTAATAATGCCTGGAATGTTCCACAGTACAGCATTTAACAAATCTACCTTGCATTCATTCAGTTACCAACATTTCCATTACTAAAAACACATTTGAACATGGATTCTTACTGTGAGTTTACCTGTGACATTGGCTGGAGGAATCAACTGTTAGAAACATTTAATGCCATACTGTGAAACATTCCAGACAAAGCAATAGTATATCCATGGAGACAAACAGGCCCTCTTCCTGAAAAGTTACATAGTCAGTTATTCTTAATCAACTATTTATATAGTTATTATGAAATGGTACCTCTAAAGTTATTTTACTGCTGTTTCTCATTGGTTCATTCATTCACTTTTTGACTTGTTTTTGTACTGTTTATATTGTAGATACATGCACTGTTTTTCAATGATAAGGTGTTCCGATAGGGTGATATGAGGTAGGGATTATTCAGCATAACTTTGGATGGTTTTAGAGGACATCTGGGACATCTGGGAGTTGAGTTGTGCTGCATGCCAGCACACTTTACCATTTGTTACAATTTAAGTCCAAAAGTACATTAGAGTAAAACAAAGCTATTATTTGTCACAAACTTTAGACTCTTAATAATCTCAAATTCTTTTTAGGGTCTCTGGTGATTTAGTTTTCAACTCCTGGAACTTAATTTTGCCTCTCAACAATATCACACTAAAATGCTTACTGGTCAGAATCACACCTATAGCTGTACCTGCTTATTGAATAGTTGTACTTCCTGAAAAATGAAAAAGCCGATTCTAAGGCCGTGGGTTTTCTGTATTTCTGTTTCCACAATGACAGCTGTGTATCTGAAGAATATATTGAAACAGTAGTAGAGCTGGTACAATACAAAATACCAATCACTCAACATAAATCTGATACCACAGTAATGAGAAAAAACATGTGGCCTTGTACTAGTTTTGGTGTAGATCAAAACAATTCAGGTCTAGCTCACAATTATGCATATGGTTCCCCAAACACTGTATGGTAGCAGTATTTATTGTATTTATTTATCTATTTTTTATTATTTTCCCCTCCATTTTTACTATTGCTTGATATCTGCATATTTTTTGACAACCCTAAACCGTAGTAAGAGAGGAGATCTGCTGAAAATGTATTTGAATGCACATACTGTACGTCTAAGAAAGCTTGAAGGACAGCTGATGAATGGTGGAAATGTGGATAATAAATTGCATTTGTCAGTACTATACTGATAACGCTTTACAAATGTTGGCTCATAAAAACACTTCTAGATCTTCTGTCTAACATGGGGCCATTTATTCCTCACAATTCTCATTCATTCTGAAATATTCTGGGGTAAAAGTGGTTCTCCTGTGTAATGATAATGTTTTTCTTTGTGCTTTTCAGCTTTTGTCATCAGGTAAAATCAACAAGAATGAAGGGTCCAAAATAACAAACACTTTCAAGCAGCTTCAAGAAGCTCTTAAAAGGTAATACTTTCTCTTATCACTGCTGCTGCCATACAAATACAGCCTGGCAGCCTGTCCTATTCACTTTTGTATTGAAAAAGATCTGGACCCACTCCCATACAAACGCATTTGCATGAAATTAATCACACAAAACAATTATAGCACATCTAAAATGGGACAGGCTTTGTGTACTGCTGTATTCATTTTCTGTTCAGTGTATTTTCTTTGAATGTGCATGTCAATGGCATCTTAACCAATACAATGAAAATATGGCTTAGCTTTATTCAGATGTTGTACAAGCCCTGTGTCAATGAAACCTGGTAAAGATCTATTATAAAAGAATTTGGGAAAAATGGGAAATTATCTAATAATTGCAATTTTTCAGACAAGCATTGAGATAGCGATTACATTTGCTATTTATATTTTATGAATTGGATTCTGTTCAGTGTTCACACTTAACTGCGCCCAGAAGAATCTACAAAAAGACTGAAATATGACCTGTCAAACTAGTGCTGAATCATATTTCAGAGCATGTTTGTACAGATAAACTAAAGGGTTAGCAGATTTTATATAAAATAAGACTATTATCTTACTAACTTACTAACTACTAATTTATTTCTGTTTTATTTTATTTTTACTTGTACCTATACGTTTATATAATTGTGCCTTATTTGATACCAGTCTAATATATTTAGATTTTTGTTTGTGGAGGAAATCTCCATTTACATTTGTCATGCCCAGATCTCACTATAGTAGTTTGACCTTATCTTGACCTACATGTGCTGGGTTATAGTGCACAGGAAGCCGAGGCTGCGCTCCTTGGACAGGCCAAGTGTTCTCGTGCTGAGCTGGAGAGACTGCAGGTCAGTGTAGAGGGCACTGAGGAGCCCGGCATCGCTGAGGAGTCCAACAGTGAGGTCATCAAGCTGAAACAAGAGATTCTTCAAGTGTACAGTGACGTCAAAGCAGCGGAGGACAGAGATTACCGCACACAATGTGATCTGCAGTGGTGAGAAATATACTTTGTGTTCAGTTCCTCAGTTTTGTTCATTAACTGATAGCGTTATCGCCATCACTCCCCTATTTCCAGACAGATATTGGTTTGGGGGAATTAATATTTGACTTTAAAAAAAAAAAAAAAACAAGGAAAAATACTAATAGGTTCCATAATATTATGTATAACTTAGATGCTTCAGGCAGGCTGCTTGTGAGTTTGATTTAATTTTGTGTCTTAATGAAAAACATACATGCCTCATCAAAAACATATATTTGTATTGTTGTGTTTTGTTTCATTCACACATGTTTAACACACAAACTCTGCATGTTTAGGTTGAGTTCTTCTCTCAAACAGAAAACACTCTGTTCCACCTTGTGATGTCATGTGGTAATACAGGTGCTCCACTGTGTTTTACAACTCCATACAGCTTCACTAGAATCATTTGGATAATTTCAGGAGTTGGTAAGAGAAGGGAGCTGGTAACTTGAAAAGTACCTCTACATGACATCACAAGGTGGAACAGAACATTTTTCAGCTTTAGCGATGTACACAGATAATAAAGGAGTACTCAAACATGCGAATGAAATATAATCAAACTCCAGGTTTGTTTTTGAGGAGGTAGCATGATTTTGAGGAGGTAGTACATGACTTAAAGCTCTCAAGAGTCAATTATGTTCAATATAGGATCTTGAAGCACTAATCACTGTGAACAATTAGGATGCAAGGAATGTGTTGACAAAGTGAGGCGTAACTTTGGATTACTAACAGTTTTTGTTTTTCACATTTAAGTAACAATCAGGTACAGTATGTTTAATACCATTCTAATGTATATTTCTGCTTATCCCTACACTTCTTATATACTGTACATCAGAAAGAAGGACAAGGTAAGGTAAAGCTAAGCACGTAAAGATAAGAAATTGTGCTGTGTATTATAGTGATGTAAGCAGGGACACACACATACAGGAGAGACGTGCCAGTAAATAGCCACATCGGGGACCTAACGCTGAGCAGTGAGCTGAGCGAGGCAGCATCTCTGCACAGATACTATCGACGGCGGAGGGCGTTTGGGAGACGGGTGAAGGTGAAGGAGCACAAGACACAAACACAGTCTTTTCCACTGTGGCTTGAGAGGCAGTATTTCGTTCGGACTACGTTGTTTTTATAGCAGAAATTCAATAAAAATACTGAACTGATGAAATCTCATGTATGAGGAATGAAACATCTTAAAGCTAGGAAGCTAAGCAAACTTTTCTACTCTGTATCACATCTAAAATACTCTACTTCTACTACAACTATACAAGAGTTAAGTAATTTTAGGGGGTAATAAGTCACAGGTTTCACAACATATTCACTACGTTTTCAAAACAGAAAAAACACCAATATTCAATGAGAGAGACCATTGCTCCTCTCCATGGCATTAAACAGGCACCCAAAGGAGGCACGTCAGGAGGAGCAGTGACTCTACAACAAACTCCATTTTTAGTCTACATATAAATTAATATGAGTCATGTTATTTTTTTTATTCAAACCAAATAATTATGTATACATAATCAGCTTGATGCTGCTCAGATTTTAACAGAGATTTACAATTTTGCTTAATAATGATTGTGGTACAACACAGTGCTTTCCCATCTGTCTAAAAATGGCCTGATAACTGTTATGGGGAAGCAGAGACATGTAATCTGTTGATGGTTGTGGAAAGTTCTGAAAATAAAAGAAAAAACTACACCAGCAGACAGAGTGTCCAAAACTGAAACACGCCCTGCAGAACGGAAAGTACTGTTTCCCTCCTCACGGTACACTAAGGTTACGGGAAGGTCAGAGCAGGGCTGTTAAGAAACACAATAACACATAGTAACATTACCTTACAAAATCTAATTCAAAATACTTGATCACTGACTCATACTCAGTTAACATGTAAAACTGTTTTTTTTACCAATTGGTAATTTCTAATAAATGGTCAGACAAAATTTTCTCTATGTAAATAAAGTTAAAGCAGACCTATTACACAAAATTGTATTTTTAATGCTTTTAACCATGTTATAGTTATTTTTTTCTCACCATTTACTCATCTGAAGTTATATTTGGAGTGATGTGTGCATGTTTGAATTTATTTTCAACATGCCGTATTGCCGATCAATCTCAGTTTTCCCCGCAACTGGTATACGCCTACTGTTCTCTTCTCACTTCATTCTCCAATTTTATTTTCTTAATTATTAATTTTGGTGCAAATGAAAAAGAACCTGCTGCATGCTAGCATGATCTAGACTTAGAGCTATCCATTGGAGGGGCAGACTCTTTGTTGCGGCAATGTCAGCAAACTTTTATTAAGTAGTTTTACATGAATATTGCAATTTTAATAGTACATATTATAACATAATGATCTAAGGATGTCATAGATTATAGCAGACTCAAGCACAATCAGATATGAAGTTTATGAGGGGCTTAAAGCTAGATGTAACAATCACAGTAGTATATGTGTTCAAGTTACAGTCTTTGATCCTGGTATTTAGATTTTTACAATTTTCAGTTCTGTATGGTACATTGTGCCTAGCGATTTGAGTACCACTTAACCAACACTTGGATTATCTAATGAGCTTTTGAGCGTATCTGATTATGTTAAACTCTCATAACTGCGACCAGGCTTGTGAAAACATCAAATCAAATAGGAGGAGGAAGTGAATAGGCTGACAATTTGACAGTCTGGAGGGATGGATGTTGCACAAAGCATCAGAAGAGAGACGGAAAGCTTTGTAAACATCTTTATTGTTCCTATTAGACCCCATTTACTCAATACTACAATACTTCAATGGTCTTTAAAGCACTCTTTGCTCGCCTGCATTGCATCTTGCTCTGAACTGCCTCTGCAATATGGAGCTACTCAGCAGATAAAGCCACAACTGTACACCAGTGATATGATCTGTAGGACACTGCCATTTTGCACCGCACACACAGCATTGAAAGCAGAAGTAATTGAAATATTACATTGAAATCACTTACATAGCAATCTCCCAAGATGCGGTATGGACAGTTTTTGACAGTGAACGCGCATATTAGACCTGACAATTCTCTAGTCTTTAAACTGTAACTGTTTTAATGCTTCTATATTCTCCATGCACTTATTTTGCCTTTCTTTTCTTGTTAGTGAATGAATCGAGGTTTGCACATGACAAGCAGATGCTACCCTGCAAATATGCTGTTTGAAATCTGCGCCTCCCTTATCTGCGGCCAAATAGATACAAGGGAATTCAGCACTTTTTGCCACACACAGCTTTTAGCATTCATGCAGTTTTGCCTGTATATGACTTAATATCCAATATATCAACTTGTCAGGAAGATTAATATCATTTACTGTATGGAATAGTATGCAGCTAGTGAGGTCTGATAACATTTTTCACTGAGACGAAGCAAAATAAAAATTGTTTCATGCATGTCTTAATAGGCTGCTCAAAAATGTTTGCTACAGGGATTTTAAATATTCATTGAATGATTGATACATATGTTACTTGGGCATTCATAGTAGCAGTATTACGAATATATTTACCACTGTATGTTTTCAAGCTTTTCTTTGTTGAATTATACACTTATTTAAAGGTACACAATGTTACTTCTTTCTTACAAGTCAGATCTCTGGAGAGGCAGCAAGTTAGAATACATATTTTTCAAGCTATTTTTGAGCAATGAACCCACCAGTGAAATAAATACTATCATGCATTACAGGCAATAACATCTCCATAGAGACAAGAAAGGTTACATGGTACACCTTTAAATTCTAAAAACATTATGGTAAAGATATTTGTTAGTGGGATTTATTAGCACTTTTGTCTTAGTTTTTGGGAAAAGTCACAAGTTTTTTATCTTTTAATACTGAATAGAAAGTTTAATGATACATATGTTCTGGGAAACTTTATAAGATATTGCTTCCTATATATTCTTTTCTCACGAACACATTTCTAATCTTTTTGCACCCTACCTACCCAACATGTTTTGTCTTCCTGTCCCTAACCTCAGCTCACCTTCTGTGCAGGCTCCTGGAGGAGAGGCGGAGTTTGCAGCGAGAGATCCAGCTCCAGACCAAACCTGGTGTAAGTTCATCACCGCTGCTCCATCCAGGTCTGGTTTCAGAGGCACGGATTAAAACTGCAGCCTCTGCCTTCAAAGAGGATAAATATGAGCTCCATTTTAAGCCTTCAGGTCTAATCCACCGAGACTTGCCGTTTGCAGTTTGATGGCTCTAAAATGTAACATGGAAAAACTCCCATTTCCCAAGTGAATCTTATCAGCTATTATATTTCATCATAGTTTTTATGTTATGTTTTTTTGTTAAATAACTCTAATTCTAGTTGTAATGTAAAATCAGTACTGACTAAATATAATTTATTTATAGGAATGGAGGAATGTTCACAAGTTACCATGGAGACAGTCCACACATTAGCAAACACTGCCAAATAAGTTTTTAAGTTGCCTGAAAACTCAAGAAAAAAATACAAAATGGATTTAAACAGCACACTTTCACTAGCCTATGATCAATAGAAGTGTCCATGGTCCTGTTTAGGAGTTTGATTTTCGACATAAAAGGAGAGAGAGACTAACTGAAAAACCTTTGGCAAAGGCTAGCTACTTTTGGACTGTAAATGTTATATGACAGACTTGTTTAACTGCACAAATGAGCTCACTTGTTGTAGTTCCAACTAAGTCAGTTCTTTCTGGTCAGACTACATTAAAATAAAGCTCAGATTGAAGTGTAACAAGCCTCAGACAGAGCAGTGCTTACAGTAAGCATCACACCCCCAGGGAATATTGATGACCTTAGCTGCAAAGTATTAATTAAACTGCTCATATTTTCATCCACTAAAATAGAATGCAAATGTACAATTTCTGTGCAGTGTATTTCTATAAAAACATATGTTGGTTGGTCAAGTGGCTATAGCTGGTGTCTGGACTAAAGAGGCATAGACAGACAAAACAAACATGCACTCAAACTGAAGTGCTACAACGGATTTTACCAATTTACTTAGTACTCTGGTTTCTTTGTACACTGGGTGAAGCTAAAATATCAGGCAGAAATGAATAATGATCCCAAATCAGCAGGGAAGGACTGAGTGATACAAGATCAAAGCTACTAATCAAAAAACGTGCTTTTACATACTTCACTATTTCCCAAATTACTTCCTAAATTATTCATGTCATTGTAATTAAAAATCGGAACATTTGAACCCGCTCAGCGAAATGGAAGTCTAATTGTACACCATAGGCAAGCCTCTCTCTTCTACACTATGGCTAAAGCATAAATGTATAGCCATCGTAATAAATTTGATGAATGTTGCTTTGAAAAGACATTTTAATGTTGTAAATAAATCTGCAGGGCATTTTTAAAATTGAGTAAGTTTTATAATCACCCTGTCAGGAGTTTGCCACAACACGGTAAAGCTTGAGCAGTCAACAGTTACATGAGCAAAAAGCAATAAGCAAGTAATTACTAGTTGAACATTTCTAGGCATAAAAGCCTGTTCTTGGCCATAAATCAGGACCAAATGACAGTCCTCAGGAGCTATGCATTTAGCACTGACCAAATGAACAGAATTTGAATTGTGTTATAATTACAGCTCTGGGTCACAAGTTCAGCTGTTTAAAATGCACCCTGTTACTCACCGTTTTGGAAACATTTTGTCCCTGTTCTTTAATTAGAGCAACAACACATGTTCTCGCAACTGTCACTCTTGTGGCATTTTAACTCACACAAATCAATTATATAAAGAATACATACATCTATTATTAAGACAACAACATGTAGCAGTCTGTTATTTATTCTTTAGGAAGATTGTAAAGCTTAATTATCCATGTGCACATTAATAAATAGTAGCAACAAAGTCAAATCCCTGAGCGCAAACAGAGTAAGTCTGAGATTATGTTTGTGGCACTACTTTACTTATCTTCTTTATGTTATCTTGTACCAGATGTAGGTCTCCACCATTGTTTAAATGCAGATCCATATAACATAACTGTCAATCAAATCAACCACTCTTCCCCAGGTCCTTTGTATGTATTTGTAAACACATTTCTTGTTAGATTAATAGAAAAAAGGCAGCTGTGGCTACGATAGATTCAATGTCACTTTTTTGGTAAATTTTGTTTTGCAGTGAGTCATCCCATTCATTCATTCACTCTGTGTCTGAAAAGAGACAACAGTGTATTGTGCAGGCCAAAGTAACTAAAACCCTCAATAAAACAATAGGAGTGAAGAATGAAGAAGTACTTTGAACTTTGAAGGGATGGATATAAGATGAATGCATATTTTTATTTTATTCTATCATAAGCCTATGCTATAATATAACATAATGGCATCGTTGAATCGCTCACATTTACTTGTACTGTACATTTCAAGTACATTTAAAAGTGACTTGAGAAACTTGCTTGACTCTTATGTAACTAAATGATGCCCTTATTTCTTTACTTTTCATATTAAAATACATTCACCACCTGCTATGTTTACATAAGCTTAAAGCAACCCTAACATAAAACAGTTTACTTTTTGCAGAAGTCAGTGATAAGAATTCTTTACCAACTGTTTACAAAGAAACAAAAGCTCTAGCTGGTGGGAGGAAACCAAATCCAATTGTTCTTTCGATTTTATACCTGCGAGAGAAATGAAAAGATCAAAACAACAACAACACCAACCAAGCAATCCACAACAATATGGGCCTATGCCATCTTACAATGATGAGTTAAGAAACATTTATATTATCAGTAGACTCACAAAAGAGTCTGAAATAGTGAAAGAAACTCACAACCCACGCAAGTAATGCTAAACAATGTCTTACTATGCTAATATTTCATCTCGTCTGTCCTATTGCAGGAGATAGAAGAGCGTAGCAAAGCCCTTCAGGATAAAACTGACAATCTGAGAAAAGAGCTCGCTGAAAGACAACTTGAAATCAGGTATTGTGTTGTCCTTGGATGTGCGCAATGTTAGGCAGTTTTTTTATATGGGCTTTTACTCCGGCAGAAACATTTTGTACTGTCAATCATGCTCCCGGTGAATGCGTCTCCTTTGCCTCCCCCCACAGAAGTCTGATGGAGGATGTGTCTAACCATGAAATGCAGATAGCGAAAGAACAGAAAGAGCTGGAGGACACAAAGGAGATCTTAGAGCTCATAGAGGTGGGAATGTGTGTGTGCGTGTGTGCGTGTACAGTATGTGTGTATTGTCTGTGTCTGTGTGTGTGTGTGTGGAGAGGACGTGGCTCAAAGCACATCATCAATAAAGTAACAAATCATCTGGTTTCACACATTTATGTCAGTCATGTTTGTGTGTCTCGCCAGGCTGAGAAAGCACAACTCATCAACGTACCTGACCAGATTTTTAAGGAGATGGAAAGAAAACATGCCAAAAAGGAGTGAGTATATTCAGATTTTAAGACATATTATACTTTTTCTCAGGTGTTGAGTATGAATCTGTAAGATACACAGATTATTATTTTACATTTTGTTCTTTGGAAATCGTGGCTTAATGATAGAAACAGATCTATTGATTTCCTGTTCAAAACTGCTGAACTGAAAAGCCCTCTTCATAGTGACATTTCATCGCAACAAGCAGTAGACTTATAATTACTTCTTTTTATTGTTGGAAGATAGTTTAGAGACATTTTGTATGACCCAGGGTTGAATTTCTAAATTACTTAAATAATCAGAAGTAAGAATAATAAATTGGGGATGGATAGGGATTACGTGGATACAGACATTTTCTGAGCACTCAAGCCTCGAATGTCAGGACAAAGATATGACTCGATCAAAACACTACTTTAAGCTTACGGGGATGGAACATTGTTATACCATGGTTAAAAGCTCCTAAATGTAGATTTTTACATAATAAGTTTCATTTTTAAAAAAGGAAGAGAAACCTGGAGATTGAAGAAGTTAGTTAAGCAAGAAGGTATCAACTACTTTTCAAAGTTAAAGTGCCCTTTGATTTGCAAATGTGTTCTCGTACAGCTGCAAAATCTAGCTGTGATCTCTTCCTTCACGTGGGGTTGTGAATTTAAGAGGATATGATCTCATTTAAAATAGAAAAGTTTTCATAATACATCAAGCAATGGCAACTACCTTCTTTAATTTGTCTCAGGGTAAACCTTGGTTAAACCTCAGCAAGCAGCTACAAAAATGAGCGAGAAACCTGGGGGTAGACTAATTATAATTTTCCATTTTTGTTAAAACACATTTTCACTTGTTGCTTGGTTTCGCATCTTCTAGTTATGTTTCTGGTCTACTTCTTCTTGTTATTTACAGCAGACTTTCTGGTGCTATGCAAATCAAACTTTTGCAGCAAAAAAGGAAGTTTATTTGAGATGCTTCTGTTCGCACGAAATGACTGCAAAAATCTTTCCAACACAAATGATGACCACAGACCTAAGCTACAGAGTATCCGCCATTATTCATGTATTCAAATAACCCTTCTCACCATGGGAATATCTTGCTTTTGGCTTTAGTGCAGTCTCTTTAATGTTTACTTCAGATTAATATTTGACATAGAAGCAATGTTGCGGAAATCTTCTGTAGCCACAAGAGCTAGGAGGACTGCTAATTTGGAATTCACAAAGCAGAGAGGGTACTGCTGGCTGTGTGTAAAAGATAGATGGTTGTGGTGTTATGCCGGTGCAGTGCAAGGTTACAGTTATGAGCCTCTCCCGGTCATATAATTACACTCTTACTGTATATGTCTTATTTTTTACCCATAATCCCTGTACGTGTTCCACCCCAGAGCCGCACTGCAGAAGATGGAGTCCCTAAATGCAGAAATATCCATAATGGGGCAGCAAGTGAAAGAGGTGGACGAGCACAACTCCTCTCTTTTGATGGAGAAGAAGAAGGTAATGAAAGAATTGGAGATTGTTCGGGGCCAAGTAGAAGCCAGTCAAAGGAAGTACAGACAGAAGCTGAAAGAGCAAGAGCTCCTGAAGGAGGAGCAGATGGAGCTCACTGGGAAAAGGTAGACATGGCCTTTTAAAAAAAAAATGTTTATGCCAATCTGAGTCCTCCATTGAAGTTATTCAGAATATGTTTTTGTCATTTGCAGAGGTATCTTGGAAATGAAGTTCCAGAACATCATGGCTGACAGAAAACAACTGTACAAATGCCAAGCTGCTCAGCAAAAAGAAATACATAGGTACCATTTGAAGGGGCCTACTATAAATTATAATCCATTTGACAATGTAATTGTATTATAAAATAGTAAATAATAAATAATAAAAATAATGTATGTAGCATACATTACCGAAAAACGTACTACTGTCACAACTCAACATGGGATGTCATTAGCTGTCAATACCTACTGTGTATATGCTCTATATATAAGACACAATCACTCAAGAATCTAGCAAACTCATTAGCTCATTATTTTTCTGATTTCACATAAAGTAAAACATTTGAATTCTAAGTATGTATGCTTCAGAGTACACACAGATGGTTAATATTTATAAAATAAAAAATAAAACATTCTAGTAAATCTTGCTAACATGCAAATACAGATCTCTGCATGCAAGGAGTTATTAGCTTCTGTGAATGAGGAAGGATGTCCACTTTGGGTTTGCAGAAATCTATCAAATAAATAGTCACACTTGCTAAAAGATATGTTCCGAAGCTTGCATAATTTGACAGGAACTCAGAAATCCATATGTAATTAGCCCTGACCAATAATTCCTAGAAGCAGTGGAGCTGAAAAGTGTAATCCGGGCCTTATCATGATATTATAAATATTTAAGAAGGCTTCGTGCTTGTTCCCAGGCAGATGCAATACCTCAAGAGAACGGAGCATGGACTGGCCATAGCTACTGAGCAGCTCAAGCACACGCAATCAATCTACAATGAGCTAAAGGCACAGGTAGGAGGAGAGAGCTGGACGTGTTTAAGCCTGGCACTGCTGACTAAAATCTGTACTGACGCAATGTGTAAAAGTTTAACATTCTTTTCAGGCTAGTTCCACTATTTAGATTACTTAGAATTCTGTTAGTGTTCAGTACAGTGGAATGTGCTTCACGTTTTGATGTGTTCCTACATTTTTTATTGTTGTACACGTGTTTCATTGGAAAGTAGTGACACTAAACTTCCTTTTTCCTTTTCGGGAAGCGCGTCAGCATATCTCACAAATTTACAATACAAATGAAAACCATAATGACACTCAAGGGAATTGGCCTATTTCATAATTTAAAGGCATCAGACAATTTGATTAATTATTGCACAATAAAACATTTGTAATAAAAGCTGTTATTCATAGTGATGTACAAAGATTTGATTGATGTACATTTTGCCAACATTTATCTTTCCCATAGTTTGATAGATGACTGCGATGTTGTTTGATTCACACTGTTTCGTTCAAACTTAAGTCAGTATGGGAGCCTAAGATTCTGAATAATACAAGTGTGTATATTTCGCACTTGAAATCTGCCTTGCTTTAATTACAAGCTGTAATGATCATTATTGCTCACATCTAGTTCCAATTATAGGAGCGACGTGACTTCTCGCGGCACAGTTCACAGCACCGGACTGGCAGGCCCGTGGAGAGGGGCGATCCCAGTGCCTACAGCCATACATTTTTAATTAGTTTCACTGAACAGGCTCAGCGTCACCCAATGTTCAATCCCTAGAGGAAAACCCTGATATATAGTATTAATTATTTCCCCATCAATGTTTAATATAGGACTGAATATGCTCTGATTCTATACAAGGCTGGCTCATCTTTGCCTCAGTTTTACGTGTTCTTTTTTTTCATTTATCGGTGAAATCTGACGCACCACAATTGACAAAAGTGGAAAGCACTGACAGCGTTTTATGAAAAAGAATTATTTAAATTACACTATAGGATTTTTACTTTGTTGCGTTTGATTTTCGTTCCAGTTGGACGCGGTGCCAAAGAGAGAGGCTTGTATTCAACAGCGGATGGATCTTCAGACAGAAGTGGATGCTCTGAAAGTCAGCTTTGAAAAACAGGTGCAACTCTGAACTTTAAAAGAGCTCCACTACAGAGGCAATAGATTCAAGCGTTCCTCATTGTATTGTTTGTGTTGAAATAGCTAAAGCAAATACATTCAAGCTTTTTTATAGATTGTCAGCCCTGAGGTGTAATGGGACTTCTCCACAGCAATTAACCAGTGCGGAGGAGAGCCACAAGAGGCAGCAGTATGCGGTGGTAGAAGACTTGGTGCAGGAATCAAACAGCCTGAGAGAGGAACTGCACAACCTAAGATGTCTGACCCAGATTAAAGCCGAGGAGAGGGGCCAGAAGCACAGAGAGATGCTCCGAGCCGAGGTGCACCAGATAACAATACACACTTAGCCATACTTTGTTGTGAGCTTTGGATGGATTGTGACATATTACACACTATAAATACTTGGAAACACCGACGAAGGTTGTAAGACCTAACTCTCCCCAGTGTCAAAGTATGGATTTGATTGTGGATGTATTTTTAGCAGCCTTCTTCACTGTGTGCTTCAATTTCAAAAGGTTCAAAAAATTATGTGGGAAGGTATTTTTTAATCTGTTATAAATGGACACAGATAAATTACCTTGAAAATTTAGAACAATAACTATGAAGCAAAATTCAGCCAACCCTAACTGTTTTTCATAGCATTTTTTAACAAAATACTTGTACTAATACTTGTACTTGCACTTGACTTGTCTGGCACACAGAAAAGTTCCATACTGCGTCTTTAAAGGCAGTTATTTTAATTGGAAGGTAAAGTGTAAATAGAAATTATACAGCAAATTATATAGACTATAAACTGTATTGATCCACAAGGGAAATTATTTGGACACAGTAGCTCACCCACTGCAATATATTATAATAACAAAGAGCAAAACTATTAATGGTAAAAATAAATTCAAATAAGTAGCAAACATAACTAATAATAATTATATATCTATTTTCTGAAGAGAAGTCATTTCCTGAAACTAGAATATTAGTAACTTGCACACGCCATGTTTGTTATTGTAAGCACTTGGCAATGTCCCTATGAATTCAAATGGTGCTTCTAGTTATTACCTGCAGTCATGATGTTTATTTATTGCACAACCTCTGACAATAACTAATGCAACTCTATCCACACTCCACAGCACATGAAACACCACATGGACCAGGAACTGAAAGAGAAAGAGCTTATCATCATGGACCACAACAAGCTCAACACTATGCTACAGCGCAGGTGCCTTTTTATTTCTGCATTTCCTGCATTTGCACACAATCCACTGCTCAGACCATTTTCACGTTTGCTAATCGTCAATCCTCTTGTTGTTTCCTTGGTCCCTGTCACATCTGTGCGTGTAGCAGCTGGGAAAACATTTAATCTGCAAATGTTGTCTGGGCAGGAAACCTTGTCTTGTTAATTGGTCATACTTCAGTGTTCGAATGTAGCCTAATGTGTCTGGTACCTCACGCATAAACCGTAGACAGACTGTGACTAGAATATTTTATCTCCCAGGAGCAATCCAAGTGACAAATGAAATATGTAGAATTGAAAGTGCGTGTAGATTCGTACCTAAAGGTCAGTGTTAGATACTTTGCAGCTGATGTCATCTACATTCCCTGCGGGTGTGAAGCTAACTGAAAGCACGTCTCTGTCTGAAGCCCTGTTACACCATTCTGAGCTTCATTTTAACACAATCTGGTCATAAAGAGCTGACTTAGTTGGTACTGCAAGAGGTAAGCTGCTTTGTGCTGTTAAATAAATCACTCTCAAGTAACATTACACACAAACATCTCAAACTATTTAGCATTAGTCAACAACTAACTAGGACAATGAACGCTCGTTTTGACCACAGGCTCCTGAAAATGTTTTGTTTTAAATCCATGGTAACGATGAACAACACCCCCAGTGTGATATCACTGCAAAGTATCAATCATGTATTTATATTATTTTAACACCTTCTTCTCTTTGGTTGACTCATTCTTCTTTAGGGCAGTACTTACCATCTTCCCAAAGCTCTATTTCACCTAGTGTTTCAGAAAATGTTTTCAAAAAGGATTATATGTTCTCACTGCCCTGTTAGTACATCTGTAACACCCACTGTCATTTTGAGGCTAATTTAAACCATAATTGCACCGCTAAGTAACTTTTTTCAAAATAACATAACAAGACTCTAACCCCCAGCCTACAACAAGGCTCTAAGCTTAATCATTACCATACAAAAAGGCTCTCAAGTTACCCACAACTTTATTCGTGGGTTTCAAGCTATTGCAGTGCTCCAACAATGCTCCGTCGCCATAAGCCAATCAAATTAAAATATTATGTCCTTTGTATTGGGTATATACCTCAACAGAAAACAAAGCAGGAAAGTATTATTTGCTTGAAACTCTTGTGAATAGGCGCCATTTTGGGGACCTTTGGCCATTTAATACATGTAGTAATTTATTTTGAATTGCTATTCGTGGTGGGAACTGTCCTAGTTTTTTCTCATGAATTGCAGGGCTTTGACCTTTACTAAAACCCTTTCACAAGGCTTTATCTATTCTCAGAATTAGATAGAGTTCTGCATCATGTCATGTGGGAGTAAGAAAAAACACCTAAACTCCACCCAGAACCACATTTCAAATAGAGCTGCTAAACTAAGCCATGCCTGCTGACTTAAAAAACAAGAGTGAGGGTGTAAGGGAGGCGGGGTCTGGACATAGGAGGAGCAGTGGGATTGTGAAGTGTGATCTGATCCACATTTCAGACTGTGCTCCCGCAGCCAAATGTTTGTAATCAAAAACACCTCAGGGCAGTTTTGTGTGATGTCACTAGCTTCTTGATGTTGCAGAGGCCAATGAAGGCAGCACACACTTAGATGTTTTTAACAAGAAAGCTGCACATTTACCTAGTTTGTATTAAAAATTATCCAGACAGTATATACGCTATACAATGTACACAAGTAAAGTGGATTTAGTTCCACTTCAAACAAGATCTGAAGTTTACAACATAATCCCAAGTTTTATTAAGGCTGGTTAAGTGATGTTAACAGCTCCAATTGTCAAGTAAACAGGTACGTACATGACAGATGCTTGGGTGTTGCTTTTGTTTCTAGAATTTCACAGTACAGAAAATTGTGTGATACGATCATGGAGGAGCGAAATAAGTACATCAGACTGAAGCAGGCGACTTCACAAACAATCACAGAGCTGAAGGAGCAGTTTAAAGTCCTGGAAAATGAGACAGAGATTCAACGCACAATCGTCATCAGCAAAGACAGGTGCGTGATTCGTGTGTGCCTTTGATTTCTGTTCAAACAAACATGTCAGCAAATTAATTTAGAGAAAGTGCCGATGAAGCCTTGTAAAAACGATTGTTTGTCTTTGACTGTTTTGTTTTTGTTGATTCAGGTTGGTCACAAAAGCACGCATGAAGATTTCCCATAGCTCCAAAGTGAGAGACAAGTTATGCAATGACATCTCCAAGGTACACATTCAAAAAAACTGACTTTTATAAATACGATAATAAATAATAAATAATTGAGAAGTCATGCAGAAAGTCTACACAATGAAGCATAATAGGCTGCTTTATAATTTATCGCTAATTGCTAATATGCGTATTTAATTCAAAGTATTGGCGAGGTTCAACGGATAAATATGCAAGTGATTTCCTACACAATATGCAAATGCAGTGCACTCCTCAGACTTATTGCAGCTCTGATTAACTTTTGCCAAATTGCTTGTGTGATAATATATTCATGACATTTTTAACACTTACTGACTGACATTTTAACTGAGTGTGGCACTTGTTTGAGCAACCATTTATCCCGTGATTATCTGGCTTAGACCAAGTGTAGTGTTCAAAAGAATGGTGCTCATTTGACTGCCTTAGAGCTGTACAAATCCATTGAAAATGCAGGCATTTTTTTACAGTGAGCTACATAAAGAGCTATGGGATCATTGATAATGCTGTCAATGATGTTTAGAAGTTTTGCAAAATTGTGATACCAAGTAAATATTGTATTAATTAAATGTATCTCAAAATTATGCAAAAAGCTAAAAATTTGTCTTTATTTCTGCACATTTGTGGTATTTGTAGTATAGTAATTTTGCTTCACATTTGTCTCATATTTAAAATCCAAATAGTACATTTAAAGACATTCTTTAGCTGCAATCTGTTCGATTGCTAAAATATCTGATTTATTGTTCTCGAAATGTTAAAAAAGGAAAGAATTGTTCTTTAATTTTTGTCAATATCTCCAACCCTTTGGTTCCAAATAACAAACAAAAAAACAATTGAAAGCAAAAGAATATCTCATATAACCAAATGTTGTTTCATTTTTATATATTTTAGATTGCCTGGAAGCTTCAGCAAATCAATCACGAGTTTGACAACAACAAACTGGAACTGGTGAAACTCACACAATCGATCAACCTCCAGGAAAAAGCATTTCTAGAGCTCAGCAAGAGCCATGAATCGGCTGTTCAGCGCCGCGATTCACTGTGTGTTGAGTTACCGCCTGTAATTAGGTCTAAACAGGGCATTGTTGATTGTTCTGTAATAAATATGCCTCCCTCCTCAGGGGCATCGAGCTGCTGGAGCATGACGAGGTGCTTCTGGGCTACTATGAAAAGGTTAATGTACAAGAGGCAGACATTAACAAAGGGAACATGGCCATAGAAGCAGTGGAGAAGGAGAGGATGGACTTGGAGTTGCAGATTAAAGAGGAGAAGCGTTTAGTGGAGCTGAGACTGAAGGAGGTGCCTCTCAGAAAACAGCTGGAGGAGGAGATTACCATGCTACAAATACAGGTGGGAGCATCTCACAGTAATATATTCACATCACATCGTATAGTACCTTCTATAACAGTAGCAACAAACTCCACAGCCCAAAAGTACTACAAACTTCCAGGCCGGAGCAGTAATTACTTGTAAAAGTTGTGGGCGTAACGATGTGTCTGCACTTTAGGTAATGATTTTCTTTAACTCCAGTCAGTGTGAGACATGTCGGGTGGAAATCCTTCATTAAAATGTGTTCAGTTATGCTGGATAAACAGTGACACAGCAGCGGTCTGGATAACACCCACTTCTTTTAACGCATTCTCACTTTCTTGGCAAGAAATCAAGAGCAAAGAGTTTCAGTGTTATATTTTTGCCTATTATAATGAATATATTAGTTCCCCAAAGGCACATATCCAAATATGCTTTGAAAACCGCATGCTTTTACTCATTATTATCAAGTGGCAAAGTAAAGCATTGGTGCACAACAGGCAAGCTCATACAAACAAATTACATTTTTAGAAATATTTTTAATCCTTCATTCAAATATTGCAGTGTGCTTATCTTATAGTATCTTTTCAAAGTAGTACATATTAAAAGTCTTAATGATTTATTTTTTTTCGTTCCACTTGAATACCCTAACAAAAACAGTAACTAATATGTTGTGTTTGGCACTGGAGGGCTACTTAGAATTTTTTTTTTTATATTTTACTTTTTTCATATTCTCTTTTGATTTTGAAAGTATTGAGTTTTTGACCTGGAATATGACCAATATCTGTTTAACTATTCGGCTTATCCACATGAAACAAAACGTTCTACATTGCCTCTGTACAAAAGAACTAAGGGGACATTATTTTTTTAAGTAGTTTCAAAAAGTGGGAGCAGTGTTCAATCATAAATATGTTGTAAGTTGAAAGGACTTAACACTAACATTGCAAATTTGTGAACCAAATACCTAAAAAATAATAAGGTTCAATATATGTGGCTATGTGGATGTTTCTTTCAAACAGGCCTGTCACAATAATTACTATATTTATTCACTATATACTTATCTCTCAATATATGAAAGCAGGATATAGCTTTCATGTATTAGCTTTCATATACTGAGAGATAAGATGGATATTTTGGGGCTCAGTATTTATTGTGGGTACATTTTCTTTGCAAAAGTGAGGAGATTTTTGTTATTTTTGCTGTAACACGATAAGATTTGCTCTGTAGACAGCTGAATAAGTCACTTCTGTGTCTAATTACTAGTTCATTCTGCTATTTATTTGCCTTTTCATGATATTGTATATTTAAAAATGGTGTACTGAGATTATCCAGCTTTATTTTTCTTATGTCAGAGGAATAAACTAGTTTCAATCGTCTATCATAATATTTATCTGTAGCAACATATTGTGCTGAAAAATTTGTTATGTCCTACTTTCAAACCCTGACTCTCCCGCACAGTTTGTAACAGGCTCCTGCCCTCCATCTGATATTAATCTAACACTAGAATGTTGTGACATCGACCAATTACTGTCCACATCCTCACCATCGCATAAGGGCCTGTCCATAGGGAGTCGTAAAATCTACTCAAGTATTTAGCGCTGTCATTTAGGGCCTCCTGCTGCTCGGATGTAATGGTACACATCTGGCCACAACAAGTTAGACAAAGTTTTAGAGTATTTTTGGCAGCTTGTGTGGGTCCATTTTTTGTATGCATGACAGCTAGTGCGATTGTCCAAAAGTGCTCCAGGCTATTGTCCAACTGTGAGTGTCCCTGTAGTTCCTCTGCTATCATTTCAGACATTTATGTGATTTATTATTTGAATTCGCAGCGTACATCTCAGAGGGACAGGCTCTTGATGCTGTGCACTCCAGTCCGGGGCGTTGTACTCCAGTGTTCATCTTGATGTCAGTCAGAGCCCCAAAAGAAAGACATTTTTTTAATACTAGACATTTATTTTGCATAATCCGATAACACAGCAGTTGTTTCAAAGATCACCGCATAATGCATAAGGCAGCAATACTTGTTTTGCAACTCTTTGATTAAATTAGAAAATAGAAAATTACAAGGCCCCAGGAAGAATACACTTCCACGATGGACAGGATCTACCACATCACAATGCATCTGTCGAGTATTCACTGATTTTAGCTTCCTGCTTATAGGTGCCATTTTGAGAACCTTTTCACAATATGAACAACATTTTTTGTGGAATGTTGATTGCTATAGCAACAGTGGCAATTTTCCATCACTCTGAAAGCTATGCGTTCAAATTTCTTTAATGGAAACAACTGGAGGCAAAATGAAGTCGAGCATAAAACATGTTCAATTACAAACTGACATCAGATCTAAATGATAATGATTTGAAGTCTTTATAGCAAAAATAAGCAACAGGGATTTTTCAGAGTAGAAATGCTCTTTTCTTTGCTTTTCTATTGCAAAGGATGAAAACAGACTCTTTTCAAAGCCCAATTTGAGCTTCACAGAAACAAAAACATGTGTTGAAAGTTGTAACATATTTGTGGATAACTGAAAATAATAATGTTGTGTAGTAAAACCCAAACTTACTCACTCTTTGATAATCTCTTATACCATAATCAAATAATGTAAAATGCAATTGTGAATGTCTTCAAACCATGCTCTGATATCACATAAACCTATGTGAATGGATATATTTTGCCAAACCTCTATAGATTTTTCATATTTTGTGTTTTCTGTATTCTGTGGTTAATCCCCAATTTTTCTGTTGAAATCACAAAATGTTCCACTTCAAACTCTGTTGCTACGATTCTTGAATTTACAATGTGCAATGTGTTTACCAACTTTAAAGGGTCTGTGTATTAAAAAACATAGAATTGAACTTTATGTTTTCCTAAAGGCAGTGTAGATTTGAGTACACACGACGCGTATGAGAATGTCGCTATGATTAAACCTCATAATCTTCAACATATTTCTAGATTAAAGAGTAGACCTCAAGTTAGACAAAAAGGCATGTGTCTATCCAAAAGATTTCTATTCATTTTTGGTATGCAACCAATTATGAATTTGTTTTCTCAGACAGAGATTGAATTCATTTCCTTATTTGTCAGTTTGTTTTTCTGTGGACATTGCACCCCCTGGGCAGCATGGTTTTCCAATAACAATGAACAAGCACAAGCTGAACTCTAACTCTGGATTATTTTTATATGAATTTTCTCAATGTCAAATGCGTTTCTATTCATTTCAGTTTAAATGTATTCCCATCTCATCATGCATTATTAAATAAATGAAGTACAAAGTGGCAAAGGTTAAACTCAAGTAACCTATTTTAAGCATTAATTTTAAAGGTGCACTGTGTAACTTTTCTGGTGGAGGGTCCGTGATATACTTGTCTCCATGTGCATGTTATTGCTTTGTCTGGAATGTTTCACAGTATGGCATTAAACCTTTCTATTAGGGATGTAACAATAACTAATTTCGTGGACCATAATATATCAGATTACATGTCTCTTTCCTTAAATTAAGAGTTATGGTGCAGCAATAGCTAATCCTTTGCTCCATTTCAGTGTAGACTACATGAAGAAATAACGGTTTTAAGCATGTTTAAGTCTCAGTTCTTTGGATTAAGTTTTGTCAAGGCATTTTAAGAGGAAAAAGTAGCATATTAACAGTTCTGAAAAAATCGTACCGAGATTTGGATATTGTTACTTCTAATCGTGAGCCACCCCACCATATCGTGAGCTTTCCCACGGTATCACAATAAATATCGTACTGTGAGGTTCATACTAGGGGTGGGCGATATATCGATATTTTAAATATATCGAGATAGTTTTTAAACTCGATATGAATTCTGACATATCGTATATATCGATATAATGCTTATATTCAATTCTGATTTCGCCGCTTCACTTGTTTACCTTCTCTCTGGTCGCCCGCGCGCCCCCGCCTCCCTGATTTTGTTCGCTCGTGTCTCATTCACTCCTCACTATCGCCGTGAACGCCGAAAGTTGGTGCCAGTGAAAAGCTTCAAGCACCACGAACCTTTTCCACCATTTACAGACAAAAACCATCAGCAGCACATCCTCATATTCCACCGAGTCGCGTCCTTTAGCCCGAAAGAAGCTAAACGAGCTGAGCTGCATGAGAAGTGCGCTGTTTATGCAAATGAGCCATGCACTTAAGTTTCGTTTCTGTAAAATGTAAACACACGTGCGCAAAACTGCATTAAACACATTATTATCGCAAACGGGCTGATGTGGCTCTAGAGTCGTTATGCTTTATATATTGTAAAGTTTAGCAATGTAAAGTTTATTTATGCAGAAGATTTTAATTAATAATCTGCTGCAGTGTCACTTGTACAATAGTGTTTGGAAACATTGGGTTTGGTCTGCAGTGGATTGTGGGAAACCTCAGAGCTCCTTACTGCTGGATAAGAACATGGATCTATTGAAATAAGGAACATCCTGAGCTTCTTCTACTAAATGAGCTCACGGTTCTGGTTCTGGTTTGGATAACAGAGTTAATACAAAGATGAGCTTGTGTTGAGTTGGTTTATTATGAATGAAAAGAAGGAAATATGTATTATTTCTTTTATTTTACAGTTAAATTATTATTTATGTAATTAGGGTTTTTTGTAATCTTAAATGTTCCTATATGAACTGCCGACCTCTTACACTTCAATAAAAAAAAAAGGACCTTGTGGAATTTGGCAGATTTGTTTTTGCAGTTTTCAGTTTTAGGGGGTTATTTTTTCTTGAACATATATCGAGATATATATCGTATATTGAGATATAGCAAAATATATTGAGATATATTTTTTGATCCATATCGCCCAGCCCTAGTTCATACCATGACAATATCGTATCGTGAGACTTGGATATCGTTACACTCCTACTTTCTATCATTATGGAGACCAAACCTGGCCAAGTTACAGGTCAGATCTGTGGAGACTTCTGAGCTATAAAACCACCTGTAATTGAAAAAAAAAAAAAAAGTAAGGTAGAGTTGTTTAAGGTTATACTGTGGAACATTCTAGGCAGAGCAATGACATATCCTTAAAAACAAGCAA